CACAAATGTTATAATTAACAATGATATGAACACATGTTTAATAAACTTTGTTTTTTGTAAATATGTTTGAATAGACAATCAATTGATTTAATGTTATTTTTTGGTTTTAATAACACAATAATTGACTAATAATTTTGATAACATAACAATGAATGGCTAATTAAACCACAATTTAAGGATTGGCTCTTTGATCGGCAAATAAGACAACAATAGTTGACACAAATCATCACCGAATCTGTCCATTGATTGTCTCTCTTCTGTATCAACATTTCTTATCTTCATTTCATTCATTATTATTTATTCAATTAATTGATAATTCAAACGATTATAAGTTATAACTGATCCTTAAAGTGATGACAATATGTTGTAATTAATAATTAAAATAAACTTATATTGAAATACTTTAAATAAATTATATTTACATTAAATTATTGCTTGTATTCATCACTCAATCACTTCGTAAGAGACAATAATGTGATTTCAAAGAGTGGACGAGAAATGGTTGAGAAGTGCATTGACTTAATGTTTGTTCAATAGCTTAAGACATAGGCATTGATGTCCGGGACTAGCGATGGGGGCAAAGGTTATGAACGTATTTTTGGGTATCAATTGTGTTATCAATGGTATGCAATGTATATCTGATATTTGAATTTTAGTTTTATTAATTATCGGTTGTAATAATTTTTAAATAAAACTTTAGTTTAAATTTAGTTTTATTTATTTGTAATTAAGTTTTTATGAAATAATTATTACAATAAGTCCCGTGTGTTGTGTTTAAACATAGAGTTTTCGTAATGTATTTTATTTTACATTTAATTAATAAGTTTTTAATTAATATAAATTAAATAAAAATTTAGTTTTGTGTGTTATTTATAATCGTCTTCATAATTGTAATTTGTCTAAACAAACAAAACATTTTCAACACTTTTAATTAAATATAAATTTGTCAAATTAGATGAAATTCAAATCAATTTATTAAATAATATTTACATATGAAGTGACTTTTATATACAATTAATGCACAGAATATTAACATAAATATAATATTGTTTTGAAATGTGTTTACAATTTATTCAGCATTTCTATAGATTTCATACAATTATATAAAACACATAAAATATTAATAATAATTAAACAATTTATTAAATAATAAATGAATTAATTTACAAATAATTGTATGAAATGTTATTATTCATTAATTTTTAGTGAGAATATTTCACAATAAAAATTCAATCAATAGTTGCTATGAGACAAGTATTTTCAATACTAATGATAACTCAAAAACTTTTATAAACTTTTTAGCATTAATTCAATGTAAATTCAGGTACACTACCATGGTATATATGAATTTAAATTGAATAGATTATAATTTATAAATGACAAAGCAATAAATCGTATATATTTCGTATATGAAGGGCACTGATATGGTTGAGTGCATTTGGTTTATCAGGTTTATCAATGACAGGATATAACCACAAATGAATACATTAATTGTTTGCACATGTTTTAATTTGTTTATCAAAAAAAAACTTTATATTATCTCTCATTTGAATGAATGCCTCAATTGTGGACTGAATATGACTTATAGTGCAAACCATATCTCAATCACTACTCCTATTATACAATCATTTCATTACTTTATTTTCTCTGCAAATAGTCTTCAGCACCGGTTGTGACCACCGCTTGAAAAACACATTCTCAACGATGACATCGGCATCAGAAGTACCGCCGGAATTGAGTCCAGTGTTCGCATACATCGACACCAATGCCGACCAATTGGTCGCCCGATTGGCCGAAGCGGTGGCCATAAAGAGTGTGTCAGCGCAGGCGGACACCAGACCCGACACAATACGTGTGATGCAGTGGTTCGCCGATAAGCTCCGGGCGAGGGGTCTGTCGGTCGAGTTGGTCGACATCGGCACTGAATGCCGACCGGACGGCCAGACACTACCGCTGCCGCCCGTACTGTTGGCTTCGTTGGCCGCCACCGACCCGTCGGCGAAGACACTCCTGGTTTACGGCCATTTGGATGTACAGCCGGCCGATAGGGCCGACGGCTGGCGCACCGACCCATTCGTGTTGACCGAAGTGGACGGCCGTCTGTACGGGAGGGGCGCCACCGATGATAAGGGACCGGTCATGGGTTGGCTCAACGCCATCGACGCCTATCAGCGCACAGACACCGCAATACCCGTGAACTTGAAGTTTGTCGTCGAGGGTATGGAAGAGACGGGTTCTGACGGTTTCGACGAACTCATTGTCTCATTGAAAGACACATTTCTCGCAGACGTGGACTACGTTTGCATTAGCGATAACTATTGGTTGGGAACCACTAAACCGTGTCTGACGTATGGCCTGAGAGGTATCGCCTGCTTCGGTGTTGAGGTCGAGTGCGCCCACAAAGACCTGCATTCGGGCGCTTACGGCGGTTCGGTTCACGAGGCGATGACTGATCTCACGGCTCTGTTGTACCGTTTGGTCGACAGTAAGGGAAACATTTTGATACCCGGAGTGATGGACGACGTGGCCGTACAGACGGCCGAAGAGTTGGCCGCATACGAGACGATCGACTTCGACAGCGATGAGTATCGCCGAGAGATCGGAACCTCTCGGCTGTTGTACGAAAAGAAGGCCGACATTCTGGCCCATCGGTGGCGCTATCCGTCGCTATCCATACACGGCGTAGAGGGACGATCGACTTCGACAGCGATGAGTATCGCCGAGAGATCGGAACCTCTCGGCTGTTGTACGAGAAGAAGGCCGACATTCTGGCCCATCGGTGGCGCTATCCCTCCCTATTCATACACGGCGTAGAGGGCGCCCACTCGGGCCCCGGCGTCAAGACTGTGATCCCGGGCAAAGTGAGCGGCAAATTCTCCATACGTTTGGTCCCAAACCAATGTCCGGACAAAATCGCGGCTCAAGTGGTCGCGTATTTGACCGCAGAGTTCGCGAAACTCGATTCGCCGAACCGCTTGTCTGTCGTCAACCGACCGCCGAGTAAGCCGTGGGTCGCCGACACTCGCAACCAGAACTTCACGGCCGCTAAACTCGCCGTTCGATCCGGTAATCAGTGTTTTAGTTATTTAAACAAAAACTAAACTATTATTAAATTCATTGTTTTGTTTGTTTGTGTGGACAGTGTTTGGCGCGGATCCCGATCTGACCCGAGAGGGCGGTTCAATACCAGTGGCCCTAACCTTCGAAGAGGTGACCGGAAAGAGTGTCCTTCTGTTGCCAATCGGTAGTACTATATGTAATGTCAATGAACTCAACCCTAACCCCAACCCCTGTCCCCCCAATAGGCGGTTGTGATGACTGCGCGCACTCACAGAACGAGAAGATTGACCGCAAGAACTATATCTCAGGCACTAAAGTGTTGGCCGCATATATCCATCACTTGGCGAATGTCTGAATACAA